ATGATTGCCAATAGCAAAATCTTTTGGGAAAAATCCATATTTATGTTAGTAACAAAAATTTTTGTACTAAATATCATTTTATGTATACTTATTTTGCGAAAATGAAAGTTTCTGTAAAATAAATATATCTGCGGTTTCTACAATTCCCCACCTTAATTTGATTTCTGTATTTTTTTTAAAAATAGAAATTCATTCATTTCGACAGATATTTTTAAGCGTACACCTCTCTCTCTTGTTGACCATTTGCATAGAATAAAAAAATCAGGTAAACAATGATGATGATTTCTTGATTGGTATTTTTTTTCTTGGTTATTATTCCCTTTATGCATCACTAGTAGGTTGTAAATTGGCTATTAGTAGACTGAAGTAACTGAATCCCTGTCAAGAAATAATTATAGATTGAAACAGTGCATTAAATATACTCATGTACATGTGTAAATACGTTTCCCAACAAAATACAATTACACTCACAGCGCTCCTGCTCCTTTCACATTTTTTCCACATATAGCCCATAAAAAAAAAGGAAGAGAGATTTTTCTTTTTTGGTAGAAAAAGGAATCGCAACTTGGTATTCAGCAATTTTTATGCCTTACAATAATCATAATAATCAATCATCGGTGATGATGCAAAAATTATGATGTAAGGGCAGAGAATTTTTCTTTCTTAAAGAAAAAAATTACCAGTTAGTTTCAGCAACTAATCTTATTAGAATAATAATAATAATAATAATAATAATAATAATAATAATAATAATAATAATAATAATTGTGTAATTACACTCCTTATTTGCTGCTTTTTGCTTGTCTAATTTTCTCCTTCCATCCTGTTTTGTTCTCTGTCATCATAACACAAATAACAAGTAATAAAACGACAGGCCACAAAAAAGTAGTAGTTCTCGATAAAAAAACACTAAATAATTTTGGAAAATGAACAAAGTAAGTAAATGTTATATCTAAATGTTATATTTAAAATGATATGACTAGACACCGGTCAATTGTGAAATAAAGTAAAGAAGGTAGATGAAGTAAAGGGGGAACCAAATGCTCTTGTAATACACGTATTTTTATATAAATATTGAAACAGAACTGAAACAGAACAGAAGAAAGATAGAAGGAAAAGGGAGAGAGGGAAAAAAATGATAAATTGTTATTAAAACAAGTTGTTCTTATTTCGTATTACTAAAGTGAAATCAATCAAGTTGCAATTGAAGAAACTATGAAATTATTGTTCCCTCCACTATTTTCTTGTTTTCCTAAAAAAAAAGTTGTCTGTTTTTGTTAATGGATAGGTGCTTTTCATGTTCTTATCATTGAATATACATTTTTTGAATGGAACAATAACTAGTCTGCTTGATAATTAGTTAAATAGGTTATGTAATATTAGGTTAAAAAGAATATTGGCCAGAAATTATTGCGTTAAATAAGCAAATATTGGTTAGTTTGGAAATTAAGTACTTCATATATTATTTAAATAAAACAAGCAGACCTACAACCTGACAATATCTTGAATGGAATATCGTAAATTACTAATACTTATCATGTTCTATTAAACATCAACAATTTTCGACTCGGAAAATGTTCACATACAAAATGCCCTCTTTCTTTGCAACCTAACTTACATTTGTGAATAAGTGTTTTCATATTATAAGGTTCACATCTTAATTATTAAACAAAAATCTAGAGTTACATTGCAACATCCTTTAGCGATTCTTAAATATGATGTATTCATGAAGAAGTTTCTTTGCACCTCAACTCTTATCTCATAAATTAAATAATTTTGTTACATCCGTAAATAATAGATGATTTTGTCATGATTTAAAGTAAGATATTTTGCCATCTCCTCAATGTATTGATGACATTGTTTGATGGTAAAAAAAATTGTGCATTATTATGATCATGATCTCAGACAATTATATACAATTTCATTTCCTTACTGAGTTCAGAAATGAAACAGAACTTACTAACTAAACAGACAAAAATTATAATAAATTTCACATGTGGTGATTGTTTGAATCTTAACACTGATGTAATTATTCAGTTCCTCTTTAGTATATGTGCATAGATAGTTTTTTCAGGAAATGGAAACGTTTACCGACTTGTGTAGCAAAATTGATAAACAAAGGGATCAGATACTGATGTGAAAACAAGGAAAGTAAAACAAACTGTAGCATTTCTACAGTTCAGTAACATCTGAAACTAAACATGACTAACTATCAATAAACTCCAATGCAGCAATTTTCAATTTATAAACGTTCAGACAATTCTACCGTACAGAGCTGAAACTTGGAGAACTACTGCAATCATCATCAAAGATATACAGGTATTTGTGAACAGTTGTTCATTCAAGATACTCTATTTCCGTTCAACCGACACCATCAGTAACGACCTACTATGGCAGTGAACAAACCCACTTCCGGCTGAATAATAAACTAAGAAAGGACTCTGGAGCCGACACTGAGGAACTCACAAATCCACACCACAAAGCGAGCCCTGACTTTCAGTCCTCTAAACAGAGACGAAGAGGCAGACCAAACAACAGATTGCGCCGGGAATCGGAGGTAGATGTCAACTGAATGAATAGCAATTGGGAGCAACTGAGAAAGAGAGACTAGGGAAGAGTTAGTAGGTGAATCCTGATTGTGGTCCTAAGCTTCATGGGGAGTGACAGAATTTAGTAATTTAGTACTCTGATAGTCGACTTCCATTGAAGCTGTGTGAAAACTAGTGAATTTGGCAGTTAAAATCATTGACTGATTTTTATTTGATAATCACTGAAAAGCAGGATGCGATGAATAGTTTTTTTATCTTAAAATGGGACTGTCAAGTTATGCATGTCCATTACCCAATCAGTGTTCGAACCTAGAGCCTAACCAACGTCAGTATTTCTGTGACGTATATTTTGAAATTCAACATTCTCCAAAAACTCTAATACTGATAATTATCGTCAACTTATCGGTGGTGAATTTCATGAAGATATTCCCATAGTTCTAAAATTGAGCCTTAGTCAGAAATGCTTAGTAATATTTGGTACCAGATAGCTACCGATTGTTAGCATTAAATGGTTGGGCAATATCGCTATTTGATCAATGTTAGAGATGTGCACCATTGGATACTGACTGATTAGCCTAAAGATCAAACACTATCCACGAGACCTGACATTCTAGGTTTCAGTCTGCTGTGATATTGTATGCGTATACTGCTGTGGAGTCTCATATTAAAATGAATCAGATATTCAGTTCTTCCTGGTTTCGAATGGTTGTCTGACAAAGATTAGTCTGCAACATAAAGTATGTATTTTAGTTTCATTAGGAAATTCAAAGAACTGTATCACTATTATTATTATTATTATTATTATTATTATTATTATTATTATTATTAAAGTAATGACATCAAATGCTAAATGAATTATTCTTTTATTCTTTCGTTTATGAAAAAGCAATCTGACTTCAATGAAAAAACTCAACACTCTTCACAACTCTATATACTAGTGATCTGTTTCTCTATTTACACTCAATAAATTGTCTAATGAACAGTAGTGTAATGAAGTTCATGTCTGTCAAAGTTATCATGTTAAGGTAACTAAAAGTAAGTGACAGTATTAAATTTGCATTTATTTGTGGTTACAGCATACTTCTCTTGTCCTATTTACCAAATATTATGTCCTTAAAAAATAACTGATTATTATCATCACTATCAACATGAAAACGAGAAAACATGAATATAGAAATATACACACTTTATTTCAGATATATAAATTAAACCTTTATTGTCAAGCGTAATTTTACATCGCTTTTGAGGAGAACCAAGGAGACTGCCCACTAGTTAATATCTCGACGTGAACAGTTCGGTTCAATCCCGTGGTGCAACCAGACAGGTACCTGACACACTGGTGGACCATTCACACTATTTCTATACACTAGTACATATATAGTCATTATTTCCAAGCCATGATCGCGTCAACAAATGTACACATATATAGACAATATTGAATGTGTGTGTACAAGTAAATGATTATCAAAATTATTATTAATAATAATGATAATCATAATATTAATTTGACGTATAATTAAGAGGATAATCTATGTCATGGACTGTTAAACAACTGAGATAGGGGTATTTATGATGAATAAAGCTTAGAAATTAAAAGTTTGTATAAGACATTTTCGACATCCCTTCACATTAACCCTTTTCCCATACAAATGTATATATATATATATATACATATGCATGCACAAAAACTGAAAACTTCAATATTCTTAGGTTGTCAAGTTATTACTGCAGTTCCATAGTTATTGAAGGATTATTATTTCTATTAGACAGTGTTGTTTAATTTCGATATTGTTTTGCGCGACAGAGTTCACAGTAGCGGGAGCTGAAAGACGTCAAATTAATCACACATACAAAAATAAACACGATGCATCAAGTGAGGGAAATTATTTAATAATCATAACAACAATAACAACATGGAAACAATAATTTTGAAAATACCAAATACATGTTACAACAAAACATTTCATTTTGTGTGCATGAAATAGATGTTAGAGTGCAAATGCACACGCTTGTACGCCATACATGTACATATACACACACACTGTAAACAAATGAACACGTATTCAGGGGTGAAATAGTTGTTGAACAACCTATAGCACATATTTTAGCATGTCCTTGTACGTATATGTCTGTGCGTGAATGTGATTTTGCATTTGTGTAAAGCTTAATTGCATTCATATAAAATTATTAAATTTGTGTAAATTCAGTTATTTTCGGAGTAAATTAGCTGGAAGCGACCAAATCATCATCATCATCATCATCATTATGGAAATTCTACAATTCAATTTTAAGCGAAAGTAGAACAGCATAGAATCAATATTAGAGATTAGACGCAACTGGGATAATTATTCTGCCAAGTATTCAAAATACTGTTACTTACCATACATAATGACTATATAATGATGATAGGATTAATAAAAATACAAATCGTATTACGAGAAATGATGACAACGAATTACAGTTCACAACATTAACCGATAGAGAAAAAATCCATACGCGCATTACAATGCAGTTCTTCTATTGTTAATGTCAAGAATTTTAGTCTGCCTGACTCGGGACTCATGAAAAGTGGTTGTAAACGGGTTATGCCAATTTATAATGAAATGAATTGGAAGAAAATTAATCGTATTGATAATGATTATGCTAGTGATAATAATGCGGTTGATGATCAACGAAATACTGTGCAACATTACAGTGTAGAACAACAAGAGGGACAGGATATAATCAACCATCAGTCTGTAGGATATCAAAATCTGCTGACTGAATATTTAGAACGTTTATGCAGTGATATACAAAGTAATAATTTCCTTCCAATTGTGACTGATAAAATTAATTCACTCAATAATGCCGATCCTACGCTTGCAACAATACCTAAAACGACTACTACTAGGATTCCAGTGTTTCCTACTCATGCATTAGACCTGAGTATAACATATAATACTTTGCTGAATGAAAGTGTTCTGCATGATCCATTGAATATGACTGATCAGTGTAGTGAAATTTCATCTCCACCTACATCATCTTCAGACAATTCATTGAATCACAGTAAGAAATACAACTTAATTTCATCGACAACATTATCCTCTTCGTCTACAGTTTCATCTAATTTATTTTCCAATTACACTGTGCCACAACATCACCATCAATATCAACTGAATACAGTAGATTTGACAAATGTCATCCATCGAACTAACTCATTTACAAATACTCTAAATTATGAAATTGATACTAACATTTATACTACTACTAGTAATCATCATTATCAAAAACAACCATTCAATTACGATCCTTTAAATATTATCAATAATAATGATAAGTATACTGGAACTACCAGTATTCTGACTAATACTCCTAGTTGTGATGTGACATCTGTCATACCTAAAATGAATTCATTGCTTGTGAATAATTTTCACTTTAATCATAATAATAAAAACAATTCTAATACAATGTTAAATATTCAATCAAAAGACAATTTAACTGGTAAGTAATTGCATTATTATGATTGCATTACTTTTTATTGCACGAAAATAATATCTATAGCCTATTTATAGCATTTCAGTTGAATTTCCTCGTTCTCTAATCTACTTGACTTATTCTTGAGATTTTCATTGTGCTTCTGAACAATTTCAGGTTAGAGTAGACGAATTAAATGTCTCCAATTATGGTGGATAGTTTATCTTGTTAAGTAAGCTTTAACTTGCTTTGTAATTTATAGTTAAATTGAAAAACAGTTCGGCTTGCAACCACTAAGCTACTGAGTTCCGTTTCGTTTATCTGGGTTGGAGCAGCCAAATGATACCCCAAGACTTCAAGGTCTATGGTATGGTTCGGAGCTGGATATATGTATCTATCTATACAGGAATTGTATGAAAACCAGGTTGAAGAAGAGTATGCTCATATAACAAATATTGTTGTCAGTACATTAGTTAATTAAGACCTTAGTTAAAAACTGTTTCTCAATTCATATTATTATCAGTTTAAATTAGAAATTCGTTTTTTGAAGTTGAAAATTCATTAGGTTGAACAGATATTAGAATATCATATATTATCAAATGATGTTACTTACTGCTAACCTACGTGTGTGTTTTTCAGAATGTAAAGAAATGGGTGGATAAGGATTATTTATAACATCGAGATCAATTTATCTATTTTTTGCATTCCCACAACTGTTCATTAAAATTTAGTTATTATCACTAGAAATTGTCAATGATTTTCATTGAAACTTGAAGATTTTTCACTCAAGATTTCGGTTTCCCATAGGATTACAAAAAAAAAATACTTCGGATAATATTCAACTTGAAACTTGTCAGCTGAATGTATCAGCATCCAAATGTTGATATATTTTTATTGAAATCTTTTATTTCAAAAGTTAATGTTTTATTTACTAAGTTACTGATCATCATCTCGTCTTAGGTGTGTATGTTGAGTGCATCATTTTTAGTAAAGAGCTGAATTATCTCGTTGTTGCTGTTGCTTACACTGAATGCGTTCTAGTCTGAATGTAAACATCAACACTAGCACGTTCAACAGACGAATCCTATAGGAGACGAAACATTTATCAAAAAAAGCAGATACCACTTTAGTGCTGAGTATTCATAATAGGATAATGAATTTAAACTCAGTAACTTCATGAAATTATGTGTCTCGCTGAAAAAAATTCAAGAACCCTGATTTCACCTGCCATAAGGATTATGAATGCATTTAATCAACCGCACACAGTATTGAACCTGGCATCTATGTACATCATTTCAACTCACCACACCCTATTAGCATAGCCAGAAGAAATTGTCGAAGAGAACGTCAGAGCGTCAATAATAGTATCATTGATAATAGAAACCATTAGGGGTCGGAGATATGATTTAAGCAGAAAATATGGATTAGTGGAGTAAGAAAAGTTGATAAGTTAGCTGAAAATCTTTAATCAAAATTACACTCTAATATCCAGTATTAACTAACTAAATAGAAAAAATGACTGAAATTGCTAGGTTGGACACATTTATTGAACAATGAAAATGTTGCGCATCATCTCCTTCGTTGTGTTTTTGTTCTAATAATAACATTAGTAATAAAAGCCGTATTTTTACCTGTTCTTACTCCAATCATTTTTTTTAAAAATTTACCTTCCTGCCTAATTTATACAAACACACTTAACATCAATTAAATCGATAACAGATCAATTAATCAGAGAAAGCGATCCACAAGACGACGAAGTACGAGAAACAGAAATTTCTACAAATATTTCAAAAGTAATTGATTTACATCAAAAGGAATTTAGTAATCATTATAATGGTAATTCACCGATTATTAATAATGAATTAATAAATCCAACTGAAATGATTTTGAAGTATGTAACCAATTATCACTTACACAGTATTCATCAACCATTCAGTAATCAACAATTAATTGAAGAAAATGTTCATGAAAAGGAAGAAAATGAAAACGATGTAAAAAATAAAAAAACTTCTACGTGCATCGATCCTGATGAAACAGTAATGAAAAAGTTCACTGGTGAACTATCATCGAAATGTATTGGTAAGTCAGTAGCTGTAATTTTTATTCTGAACAAATAAGGTAGTAAGTAACAGAATGTTGCTGAACGGTATCATGACCAGAATGTGAGAGTGAATGAAGTAGGGTTCCGATTTTATGAAGAGAATCAGACTGGCGTTAAAAAAGCGTACAGATTCTCCAAAACTACCTACAGCAATTGAACATATACTCACAAAATTATTTTTGTTTATGGATTGGATAATATTTTAGTCAATTTAATCAAAATACAAGGATGATCTGATCTGAATAGAGGGAACTACTTTTGAGTGTATGCGGCATATCATAATAAATCAATGATTTGTATGTTACGTAACACAATAAGAGAAGTTAAAAAACTTAGCATGTCTGAAATTCTAAGTAAAATTTGTTTATTCATTGTTGTAGAGAAAATATAACATGAATGATAAAAAACAAATGTGTTCGTTAAATAATAAATTTTTTCTATGCAGATTGTATATTTTCAACAAATCAATATTTCAGCAGGCTTCATTATCTCTATCACGAAGTGTCGTTTGTTTATACGAATTCTTTGTAGATTTAATGAAAATTTATCGTTCATTTCGGCTCATCTCTCACATCTTTTTAAGTCAACTGTGAAGAAGTTTTGTTTTTAGCACATCAGTTTGACCTCCGCTGAATTCCAAAATCAGTAAGACTACAGTCACATGAGTATATATTCTGTGATTAAAAACATTTGTTTGTTTTTGAAGAGTTGTGAAAGTATGATATACTAAACTACTTCTGAAAAAACAATACTTAAACAAGAAATTAAGCACATTATCATATCCTACAAATAGGGAAAATTACCATTGATAAATTTTTAGATCCTGATTTCCTTCAGATTTTTGACTTAGAAACTACATTGATTACACTACCGATCATCTCCAATTATGCGACATTCAAACAGTTACTTAGGTCATTGATCACAGTGGGATTAGACTGGCAGAATTTGGTCAGTTTCAAAGACTAAACAAATATGGCATTAGTCTCTAATCAGTGATCAGTGAAAATGTAAAAATTATTTTAAATTAGAGAACAGTGTAAAACCAGTTAGTACTAAACAGCAGTTTCGTCCTAGTATTGAACTCAGTAAATGTTTAAAAATTGATTTTAAATTGTGTGGCCAGTGAGATGATAAAATATTTTACTATTCAATTTCTTCTTCTGAGTAGATATGTAGTTGTAAGACTGTTTCTTCAACCTTTTTCGAGCTCCTACATTTATTTCCTTACCCTGAAAAATAAAATCAGAATATTAAAATTTATGATTTCGTAAGTTATCTACTGTACTTTTAATCACTAGATGCTACTTAGGTCGAATCATTCAATTATGAATGAGAGATGTCGATGGGTACATGCTATTGGTAAAGATTTAGCTTAACTTTCTGAGGAAGCAAATATATGTCGTGATTGAAAATGTGGCTTATTTTTCTAAGGGCCATGGACTTTTATTTATGAATGATTATGTGAGTATATTTTTATTCCAGTTAGTGAATAATATCTCCATGCTTACTCTTGATCTCCTCAGTACCAGAGTGAACTTGTGTATAGGAATTGCATTTTATCAATAGTAGACTCTGATGATATCAGGATATAAGAATATAATCAGGCCTTTCCCCATGAGCTTTGACTTAAAAATCTCCTCGTTCAACAACTAAATCTCACTGATAATTATATAAGTTTATAATCGATTCATAAATTATATTAAACTTTTCGAAGAGTCAAACTATGAAAACTATTCTTCATCATGTAAAAAACCTCACTAGTAATTTTTTTGTCAGTATAGATTTTAAAAAATTTATGTTAAAAATCAAAATAGTTTTCCATTCAGTTTTCAATACACTTGATTAAACAATAAACAATTTATTATGTAGCATAGTATATGTATATTTGGTTCCATAAAGTTGGGACTTTTATCACTGTTTATGGTTGATATCATACATTCATCTCTGTTTAATTAATTTTGAAAACTAGGAAGCACTATGATGAAACAACTATCTAGTGTTTCCTTATTTTTACTTAGTTATTTCACTAAGGTCTGTCTCATATGCTACCTATAAAATTCAACATTCCCTTGAGATCTTATTGTATTAATATGATATCTGTTTAGATTGACACTGAGCTGTTTGCACAAAAATCCTATTTGAAGTCTACTGAAATAGGCTTTTTCTTTCCTGGAAGAAATAAAAGAAATTCATGAAATCATTAGATCATTTAATTCACAAATTGTTAGTCAATGCTTTAAAATAAAAAAATGCTTATTTTCATATTTCTTTTTTAAACCCATTTAATATGGAACAATTATATAATTGGAAAACGATGTCACTTTGGTCAACAGAATCAGACATGCATTCTACGCCGAATCTAATTGAATCCATAAAAAAATATCATTCAAATAAAGAATGTGGTTATGATGTGTGTCAATCATCTAAACTGAGAGAGCATTATCATTGTAGTATGTGTAATAAGGTAAGTTCAGTAATTAGTTAACATTGGATTGCATAACTTTTTTATAACGGTAAAAATGATCCATTCAATCATTGGCGAAAAAACTGAAGTAGTTAAAAGAGCTTGAAAATAGACGTCACGAAATTCATAAAATATGAAGGCCCGTTTATCAATAAAATACTTTGTAGAAAACTTCTCTTGTCATGTGTTTCATTGTGGTCGGAGAATAAATACAGGATGGATCGAAGTTCAACGCGTTAGTTGACAAGTTTTTTATGTTGACAAAAATATAGAATATACAAGGTTAGGTAAATAATACAAGCGATGAATATTCAAAATGGTGCTTTATCTTCAGTCATTTTAAAACAAATTCAATAGTTATTGGTCATCTTTGTGAGATAAACAACTGTCTAATAAACCAATCATACTACGAAAATGTGCATATCATAAATTCTGATTTTTATTTTAGTGTTTAATAATGATGCCTGCTCATAAATCAATCACTCTATTTTGGCGGTAATAAATTTTAAAATCTTTCTACATTTAAAAGGAATATTTACTGGCAAAATAATCACAATTTGATGATCAATATCATACAGTGAAACTATAACAGTTATATGTATTCAAGCATTATTATCATCTAAAAGAGTATGGACAGTCTAGAGACGGCTTCATCGTCTAAACAATTAACTTTAAATTATTAGATTAACATACTGTTTTATCACATTTGAAAATTACGCCTGGAAATTGGATAAACAAATTCGTAGTTGGGTGTGGATTCCCAGTTAGTTTTTCACAAATAAAACTTGTAGGCATTGAAGAAGTCGTCAGATCAAACGAACATTATATTTCTTGAGCTTACATAAAAACTTAAAAGTTCACATCACTTTAAATAGTCATTGAATAGTGGTAACTAATGTGGAGATTTATCTAATCATTTTAGTGTCACATATGTTTGATAGATTAGTCAGTAGTATAAATAATTCGATATCTTGACCCTTACAATTTCTGATGTTACATAATTAGATATTGTGGTTCGGAAATAGTATTATGTCATTCGGACTAGTAACTTTATTAGGAATTTGTAGACTAAATCTTTCTGGCAAAATTAAGAACTAGATAAACAGGGAAAATATCTTAGTTGAATAAAAAGCAATTACGGTTCGAATGAGTCTGTGTTACCACCTTTGGCTATGAAGCTACGTGACAAGGTTTATATATGCTGGAAGTATCAGCACTCTCATGTTTCCAAATAGGCCTTGTTGGCCAGTACCTGTTGACATGATCAACTCCAAACGACCAATATCAATCATAAAATCTTTCTTTATTCTTAATATATTTGACTGTTGTTAATCAAGTACAAATCAGAGTGGACAATAGATCTTATGTTAAGAAATTAATACAATATTTTTTGCAATATATATATATATATATATATATATATATATATATAACAAAATGGGGACCTTTGGAAAAGTGCTGGTAATTTATAAGAAATCGATAGCAATAAATCATCTGAATTCTGAATAAAAATAGGATGAACAATCAAGTGTATTAGCCGGTCAGTCATAAGCAAAAGTAGAATCTTGCTTTTTTATGCCTAGAATTAAGTTCCCACGCCATATCAGAACAATGAGCTGAAATGAACAAGCCGAATACCAGAATAGAAACGAGTTGATGGTTTTAATCATAGTACCAAAGATTACTCATGGAATAACGTGATTTATTAGGTAAAAGTTTCCAACATGAAAAGTATTAGTATGTTAAGACAAGGATTGGGTGTACCTGTATCCGTTTGATTGACTCTAAACCAAATCACACGGCCTCTAAAACAAATTGATTAGGATCATTGTGTGGGCCATAATCAGTTACTCTGTGCTGAAGCGTTCTAAATAGTTAAATTCGATTTATTTAACTGAAATATTGACAGAATAAATTCTATGAAAGAGCACTACTAGTCAGCTGACTAAATCTTTAAATAATAATGCTAGCTATTACCAACATTCAGAAATTTTAGCTAAATAATGCGCATATATCATCTACTCTTCAGCTGACAAATAAATAATCTTTGATAAATTTAGGGTATAAGTAAACTGCACAAACTGGTGTGATAACAACTCACTTTCGACTGATGTTCTTGGGTTTTGGCATATTTTTACTTGGTTGTCTGAAACTTGGCCAACGTACTTTCTGTTACGTGAAAATCCTTGGTATGATAGTTGGTGCGAATTAATGTCGAGTCCAATGGCAGAATGAAATATCTATTAGGCACTAAAAACGATGTTAGTCTGTGGAAAAAACCATCTACAAGTTAGACTAACCTTTGAATTAAACTAGAACGAAATAGCTACTGGTTGCTGGTTTTCAGCCGTGATCCCTAAATTACATTGAAAAGTAGTGACCTATTGCAACTCAACTATCTGTCGATTCTGGATGACGGCCAAGCTAGGTCATGAATTGAATGAGTTTAAATCACTAGTTTATAACTTTTGCGTTTGTTACAAATCCTGATGGTTATCAAATCTGTATTCAGAGGGTACCACCTAAGAGTCATACAGAATAGATCATATGCTGCATAATTCTTGATATGAAGTGGTACCCTAAACGATACTAATCCATGAAGTTAATAATTTACATTATGGTATCATCATTTTTCTGTATTGTAACCAAATATTTTTTCCAATCATTAAATGATTAATAAACAACTTCGTTTCATTACGTAAGATAAGAATTTAATATTCTCTTTCAATCCTTACTGAATATATTTTATAATAAAATACTTTAGATTATTCTACGACGTGAAGAAATGATAAGACACGCTAAATGGCATAGAAAACGTGAAGAAAGTATGCAATATGGATTTATGCGTTTTAGTCCATCCGATGACTGTACTATTGTTTCTTGTCCACATAATGGACGTCAAACACATTATCACTGTATGCAATCAAATTGTGATAAGGTAAGAATTATGATTTTCTTTTATTTTCCCAAAGAAAGTAACACAGCTGATAGTTATAGTGATCATTTGTTTACCAAGAGATATAAAATATTCTCGACACGCAATCCCATTGATGAGAATTATGTTCAATCTATGAAAGTATGCGGCTGACTGAATTTTAAAATAAATAAAAAACAAGATAATTAAAGTTTGACTTATAACTAACTCCATGTGTAATTTAATGAAGACAACTATCCACTTATAGTACAATCAGAATGATCAACTGAAATATACTTAAATCTACTAGTAATTGACATTTTCTAAACTATAAAATAATACATGGTTGATTGATAGTATTCATGAACAAGATTTTCCATCCTTGACTAACTTCTCTCCCACTATAATTGATTATTGGTTCGAACTTTATCAGAAAACTGTTTAACAAATCACTGTAATATAAGCAGATATAAAATATGTCATACTTGTTTCATTTTAATGATCAATATTATGAGTTTAAGTTGTAAGCCACTGAGGAGAACTACCGAAATAAATGAATTCATATTATTCGGCTATGGTAGTTGTTCTTTCTTTATTCAAGTTTACAAATAGAGAACATTGTATGAATTAATTTTAAGCAAAATTATGTCATGCAAACGCTGAGGGAAATGTAGTTGAATAATAATGAAAAAAGAGAAATTGTATAAAGCAATTTTGGAACATATTCATAACTAAGTTCGATTTTAATTCATAGGTGACAACGTCCGAAGCTATTTAGTTGCATCCATTCGAAGGCCGTATAACAAGATATAAATTACGGAAGCGAATGTCGATTAACTCATTGTTCATATTTGGAGCTAAATATGAATGTACTCTTTCTCCACCTAATTTTATGGCAGTTCTAAAGAAATAGCTATCACTAAACACACATCGAAAAGCTAAAGAGGTTTAACATTAAAAAAAAATAATTCAACCTCTATGATGATTTTTCAAACATTTCCTTTCAATCGCATCTACCGCCTAAGTGAAATACACTTCGAACTTTATCAGAAAACTGTTTAACAAATCACTCTAATATTGTGGTGCTGTGGTGCGAACTACTTATAAGTAGTATATAACGTGAGTGTCAACGTAAAGTCTGGTAGCATAATATGGGGGGAAGATCAAGAAAGGAAGAGTTAGAAAACAATGAAATTTGTATGAAACGCATGAATAGTGACGATGGATTGATGTTTGGCAACAGGAACAGTCCAGTTCCATAGGATGAACTGATCTTTTGCAAATGAACGATTTACGATATGGTTTTCCAATTTTACTGAGTAACTCTGTAATTTTCGTCTAATTAAATTCGGTTGCCCTACCTGTGTTCTCATTCACTACAATATAAGCAGATTCCAAGTTCGTCCTTATTGTTGAATTTTATCATTTTTATAATGGGATGCTAGCAAAACCTGTGCAAAACAGCTGTGCTTGTTTTACATTTCACTTGAGAGGTAGCCAAAAACTCTTCGTGGTATAAAAGGTATAACCTTCAAATCCTTAAGAGAATAATAACACATTGAAATTAAGAAACTAGAACAAAAATATCCAGCTTTTCTAATTTCAATCCGATTTTTGGTGTATAACTCGACCTTCTTATCTGCTCCACTTTTGAAAAGTAAAATTTATCATTTCTGTTCAATGTACAATTACTGAATGTGGAATATACTGAGAAGAATAAAAAGCGAATAAAAAAATTGTTTACTTCTAATGTAAATTCATGACGAAATTTAAGTTGCAAAGGTAATTCTTCCTATTAATTCTCTACAACATTAGATAAAGATTGTTATTTAATTCAGAAAGAAACTTGCGGATTGATTTACTCAAGCAAACATCTATTTTTTCTCACTTCAATTTCTTGATGAACATATTATCACTGAAGTCAGTGGTTTAAATTTTGTAGTCAATTCTTAAATGATGATCCGAATAGTGTTGTATTCATGAAAAAGATATAAAGGATCTTGGATTGTAGTATACTGTTCAATGTTTATTGAATTGTAAACCGATGACGTTCACATTTGTTTGTACTAGAAATGATGTTCAAAGGAACGTCATGTTTTCTTAATAATGATTTGTGTAAACATTTGTACCACAAATAAATGCTTTGTTATTTTAAGTTATGAGATTAAAAATGTGCATTTATTCATCTATAGCTTATGCTACATAAAGAATACAAACTTAACTGATATTTAAGGTGACATTAGATTATCACACTCTTTATTGGTATAGTAACTCAGATTATGACACTGAATGACTTCAGTCTGCATCCTATATGAAGCACTACTTCCCTTTAGATCGCAGGTATATTTTCTTGATAAAAATGACAACTAGCATGAAACGTAAATCAAACAATATTTCTTGCTGACCAATGGACTGTGATAACACTACTACTAGACTGGATACACTTGACTGATCTGCTATTAGCAGACTCGATCACGTTATACCGGGTACATGATTTATGAGCAAAAACAGAGGAAAAACTAGAGTACAAACAATATTCTTTTGAGTACACATTACAAACAGTCGACTCTTTGTAAGTCTAAATTAGAAATCAATAATAGGAAGAAAAATGCATTCAATACTCAGTAAACCGAATTTCCGTCCGAATTCAGTGCTCATATATTAAAGTAACTGACCACTTACATTACTAATCCTGAATTTAGACTTCGTGCCTAGTTATTATGCTTATTAATCTGAGTTTATTGTGGCTAATAATCGTGTGAAAAAACAATGTAACGAAGTCAGCTATCTGTTAACAAATTAATTCGAGTTAGATTATGTACCTGTTCAGTGATCTGAAGGTTGTAAGCTAGAAGAAACTGGACGATAAAGTCCACCAGTATTTTCTAATTTAATTTTTCCTTTTTTGGGTTTTTTTTAAGTGAAAATAATTCAGAATTTTTCACGTATTCCACTCATTTTTTATCGTTCTGTCTTTTACTAACACACACTAACATAATAATATTAATAACAATTATCATTATTATTATTATGATTATTATTATGAAAAAACACATACAAATACCTAAAAGTCTTTTGAATATGTCTCCGTTTGTGTATTCAGTCATACATCTGTCTGTTTGTTTATGCAATTGCTGGTGATGGTATTGATGATTCTGTTCATGATCATAATGTCTGATTTCATTCAGTTACTTGTGTTATAAATTACTTATATGGTAAATTTTAGATAATTATATCAGTTGAACTACATGATCGTTGAATACTGTGATATACTAGGTGGTTGTTTCGCCTTGGTGTCGGATTCCATAGCAGTGATGCTTGTGGATGACCTCAAAAAAGACTGAACACAAGGACTTTTTGGTGAGCGTGTTAGATTGTCTTTAGCAGGTAACTGTCTCATACCAGATACGGTTGAATTCCACTGATCATGGCTTGTCACCAGAACTCCGGAAATTTTTTCTCGATTCAAATTATGAAAATAGATAGCCACAAATAAGTCAATGCTCAGCTAACCTTGTTCAAAATATCAACATATTCTAGTTATAAATCTCAATATGAGAAGAATAAGCTAGTCATCAATGCCTATAAAATTCATTTCATGGTGATTGGAGCTATTTTGAGCAATTACTTGTAAGAACAGAAGTCACTATTTTGAATAAGAATTCAGTTTAAGCTTTTTTACTTCAGTCAACATTGCAAAAATTTATTGTTGTGAAGGATCTGTGGAAGTCATTGAATTTTAAACTATCAATCACGAACAAGCTTTATGTAAACAAACAGTGACAACATGAATCACTTGGATAATACGTATGGTTCTAGTATGGATCACTTAGTCACTGCATATTTACGACCTCAATAAGGGAGAGTTGAGACCAAAAGCTTTGTTTGCTCGACGTTTAATTTTCTTAGTGAAAGGTAAAAACTGAACTCCGCCTGTAGAACCTTCGAGGCTACTGCCGGTCCCAAGCCCGAATGAAAGAGGAGGGTTGGGCATGGGGTTGGCGACCTCACCCCGTCAAAAAACTAACTTGCCAAAAAAACGCCAACCAGAAAACATAAATCAAACAATTTAACTCTGCCCTAGGAATTGGAAGAAGAATTATGACGCCTCGTGATTAAAGCCGAGCTCCCTCAGAAGTCACGGGGCCGATGTCTCTTCTGACAACCAGAGCAACCATTCTTTTAGGTATATGGAACGTTCGTACATTGTGGGAGACTGGAAGACTGTTTCAAGTTGCTGCAGAAGTAAAAAGATACAACCTCGAGGTGCTCGGCGTCAGTGAGACGCATATGAAGACGGTAGGACAACTGAGACTAGCTTCAAGGGAACTGCTTTTATACTCTGGCCATGAAGAGGAAAATGCTTCACATACACAAGGAGTTGCGCTGGTTCTGACCAAACATGCACAAAAGGCAGTGATAGGATGGGAATCTCATGGATTAAACTTCAAAATCGTGCACGGCGGACAACTGACAGACCCGTTCGAGGTGAAGACCGTTGTCAGGCAAGGTTGCTTACTCTCACCCTTTCTCTTTCGCTGGTGATCGATTGGATTATGAAGACGTCAACATCTGGATGGAAGCACGGTATCCAATGGACAGCTAGGATGCAGCTGGACGATCTGGACTTCTCAGATGACCTGGCTCTTATATCGCACACACAACAACAAATGCAAGAGAAGACGACCAGTGTAGCAGCAGCCTCTACAGCAGTAAGTCTCAACATACATAAAGGAAAAAGCGAAATCCTCCGATACAACAAAACATGCACCAGCCAAATCATTCTTGATGCAGATGCCTTGGAGGACATTAACACCTTTACATATCTGGGCAGCATCATCGACAATCTAGGTGGATCCGATACAGATGTGAGGGTGTGGATCGGCAAAACAAGGGTTGTATTTCTACAGTTGAGAAATATCTGTAACTCCAAAAAACTTTCAACCAAAACCAAAATCAGGATTTTCAATACAAATGTCAAGACAGTTCCACTGTATGGAGCGTAAACTTGGAGAACTACGAAA